TTTGCACCTTAACAATATGTAGGAAGTAATGTACACAACATCAGCCTACAATTTAATCTAAAACTGAAAGTGAACTAAGTTATTTTTGTAAAATTACTGGCAAGTAAAATAAACATAGATAGAGATAGGAAATAAACAAATTGCCAACAATCAAACAGAAATTAAGACATTTTAAAAACTATTTCACTTAGATTTATGATACAACGTAGAGCATGTAAGAAAACAATTCATAACATCATTTAAAGGGATATAGTCATCTAAATATTTGTTTAGCCAAATGAAGAACTCAATTTCCATGTGAGTGAAAATAATAAAATCTGACACGCAACAGACTCTCGAAAGCACTCGCCTGGAATCAAAATTTCTCTACCTTACCTTATATGAATAATATTATAAACTCTTCATGTTATCAAATCTTTAAATAACAAATGACAATGCTTGTTATTCATATTAAAAAAAAAATGTAACAACATTGTGATCAGTAAAAATGTTAAAAACTGATAGATTAACCCCAAAACAGTGAATAACTTAAGTCAACAGGTAAGTTATACCTCTCTCATGCTTGACTGATAACCCTCAAATTGTTTTCCATCATGTATTATAAACTCAATGTCACCTATACTCTAATTCATGGGAAATGACACCAAATTGACACATTATCTTTATCTTCAGGGGCTTCTCTGAGATTTTTTTTAAAACAAGTATAGTCCTATTAATATTTGCAAGAATGAAATTTTTTATTTTACTTTAGTTTAGTTTTACATTTTCTTTTCTGCTCAAGATATATGAAGTCTACATATGTAATGAAAATGTAAGGAAAATTTTTCACTGACAGGGTTGATTGTGGTGATGCCCCTGTGCTACAGACTCAGATAAGTCTTGATCCCTCTAAAGTTGGAAAACAGTGGTAAAGCCTATATGTCCTTCTCCTTATTGCATTTTGCATCATTATCCCCTTCAATGGCAGAAAAAGTAGAACATAAATCTCTATCTCATTTCAAGAATACTTTTAATTTCAGCCTATATTTTTGCCACCTTGAAGAACAACCTGTTCTTACATAACTCTTATTCTTCATCAGCCAAAAAGAATAATCTTACTTGTTCCAATTAGCACAACAAGTACAATGTTTAAAAAGCTTACATCAAAATCAAACTTTACTGTCATTTTGAAAACCCACTTGTTTTGGGGTGGAAACTATTAGGAAGGTTAAAGACAGAAATCAGTCAAATTAAGAGTCTGGTAATTTTACATTAATCATGTTGTTTTTAGTTAGAAAATCCAAAAGTTAAAGTAATTACTTCTACCTTTGTGTGTATTTACTAACTATTTGAGACTAAGTAAACTAATTTTGTTTTATTGAAAACCCAGGTGATGTACTGTGTACAATACTTAAACAAACTTGAAAAAGATAGATACAAAGTTTTCTTTGAATGAAATTAACATGGGAATCAAATATGGTGTACTATTTACATCTTTACTCCAATAACTAACAAACTTCCCTTATTCTAAGATGGGAATAGATGAATTATTATATCTAAATAACAATTTGTTATTCATTTACTGCATGAGTCTATAAAACTAGGAGGTTTCAGTCAAGGTCTTAAAGATCAAATTCAGTTAGCCACTTTTATTCTCCAATCGGACATAGCTTGTAAAATCATACAAAACAGTAGCTTAAAATTATAACCAGGCATATTTTGTAAATACAGGAAAGAAAACTTGTACTATTTACTGCAACAAAGAATGGAATTTCAAGTTATTTATAGTGAAAAGTCAGTCTTGCTTGTTGGTATTAAGTTGCCTGATAAGGGCCCAAATGCTCTCAATGGTCTTAACCTAATATTAAGCCAGAATTCAGATGAAAATTCCACATAGTCTAGATTTCAAATTTCAACAACCTTGTCTCCTACAAGTCTATAGTCTCAAGTTTTAAATAGTTCAAAAGAATGAATCATTGTTGCAAAGAATGTAAAAAGATCAACAGACTAGCAGGAATTATTCCAGTCTGTAAGATATGATACCTGTTTATAACCCTTGATAAAAATTGCCGGTATTATCTCTAAATTCCATTGAAATGTATTAAAAAATTTCTATTTCTATTGAAGGTATACCAACAAAATACAATCAATAACTGATTTAGACTGAAATTTAGAATGAATGAACAGAATTATTCTAGTCTGTATGCAAGATATAAAATATGTTATTTACATTCTAAACAACGGCTGTATTATCTCTATTAATTCCATTGAAATACAATGATAAACTTGTATCTTTTGAAATTGAATGAGTGAAAAAAAGAATGCATGAATGAATGAATGATTAAATGAATGAAACAATACCTATGTTATCTGGAAAATTCCCTTGAAATACAATAAAACTCTACTATCTGTTATGTTATGACAATATAATTGTATTTCAAATTGATGGTTTAATGGATGAATGAAAAAGTGAATTAATGACCAAGCAAATGAGAGAAAGAAAAACTACATATGAATGTCTTGTTTTATACCTGTCAACCAAAAAGAATTCTACAAATAAAGTGCAAGGTGTCTAACAATTGATGATTATATTAAAGGAATTCTGTGTCTTTCAAAACCAAATAGTATATTTCAGAAATACAATAGTCCAACTGTTCTGAGACACATAGAGACCCTGTACGAATAAATCCTATTGGATAGTAGACATGGTCTCAAATTTTTTTTTTTTATACAATTTTAATATATTAATGATAAATTAAAATCTTCATGACAGGTAAAATGAAATATGGTCAAATTGAATGTTATATAATTTTTCTAGTTGAAGGCTCTTTTTTCAGGGAGAAAGGGTGTTTAAGGTAACCACAGTGACCTCATTCATTTGAAATCTGAAATTCTGACTTGGAATGTGTGCCAGCTTCATACAAACAAGAATTGTGACTAAATCTTTTATCCCATTGCTTTATAATTGGATTTTTTTAAATATTGCGAAGTGAATTTTGCTTTTCTATTCATGTCGGTAGAAATAGTAAAACAAGTTTTATTAAGTTAATTAAATTCTAAATTCAAATAAAAAAATTCCAACACTTTATTACAATTATATTTCAAAATACACCCTGTAGTAGACTAGAGGTAGCAATAGTGCATGTAGTGTTCAATGTTTTGATGTCTGATGCTGGAAATTTATGCTAATGTTAATCAAGGATGAAAGTCAGAATAGTTACCGTGAAATCTGAAACAGGTGGTAATAGGTTCCACATTACAATCTATCTTCAATCTACATTGATAGAATTCTCACCTGAAATCTGAGACTCAGGCTAGAAGTTTAAGAGTAGAGGAGAGGGGGGATCACTAATTAGGGGACAAAGAATAACAAATTCCTTGGGATCATAAATAAAAATCATCCATTTCCATTGATGGAACTTTCATTGTATTACGGAGACTATGGTTAGACAATTGGCAATATGGACGGGAGGGCAAAGAGTGATGATAAGGGGAACTATAGCATAGGGGAAGGTGGATAAGGTTTAAGGAAAGTTATTTGAATAACAAGTGGACTCATTACAATGGATATCTGGATATTGCCAGATTCAGGCAGGATAGACTCTGGATAGATGTCATTGAGATAATGTATTTACAAGAACTGATGGGAGGGGTGCCAGGGATTAAAAATGAGCATAAAAAAACTAGTTCCATATTATTGCCCAGATTTAAGCCTCAATTAAAAACCCAGAATATTAAAAGAGTCCTACAATTTAGCATAATTATAAAGATTTCTTAGCATAATTAATTGATTTTCTCTTACACAGCAGGGTATCATCATATAAAGAGTTGTAATTTGTTTTCATTAAAATCTTAAGTACCACAAGTAAAACTATTACAGCCTCTAATCTAAGTAACCATTAGACTACCTAGATAATATGGACCCTTATCTTTAATTAAAAATACATCTGCACGTTTTTGCAAGTGTAAAATACATCATAACCACTATGCTAGTTAATATACCTCAGTACAAACCAACTGTGATATATTGGAATACATTGTTGCACTTATAAACTAAAGTCAGTGTATTCATAAAACAATACAAACTGTACTAAAATAACGCACTCGAATTTATTCCTTTGTCTATTGTCTTTCATTTAAAAAATATTCATTTAAAATTTTTACAAATATTCAAAAATTCAAAGCTTATCAAGGAAATGTGGTCGAATAGGCTACTATAATAATATAGATGGACAGAACAAGAAAACCAATTGTCCTTTTTCGCGGTCACTTTGCCATCGATTCCAATGACAGTGACTTCAACCCTGCAAATGAATGCCATAGAATAAGAGAAAAAATAAATTTACCTAATAAAAGGTCTTTCTGCTATATAATTCCTGTACTTTCGCTTTTTTCGTGCAATCACTAATTATGCATTTTGACACGGCTTTACATGCACGAGATGAGATATTCAAGACGGTGTATGAAATATTCAAGGATAGATAAACGTAACTTTAACCTCCACCGTCTTGAATAATTTTGATAATAAAGTCACATGATGATAACCTGTTTCTGCTTCAGTTTCTATCGAGTTACTTCCCTTGAATTGAATAATTTAACATCAATTTTCCCCGTATTTTAAATAAAAAATCGATACCCGTTACATTCTTATAGATGCTGAAATTCTCAGCGGAAGTCTATTTTCATTTTGATCGGTTTCTGGTGAAAAATTGATCAATTTAAGCATCCTCCCTATTTCAAATTTATTTTCTCTTAACATAGGAAGGGGAAAGAATTGCCTTTAATCCCTCATGACAATTCTGTGGTCCCTACTTACCGCAATCTCAACGCTACACCCCCCTCCCCCCTCACTTTGCCGCTATTATCTTAGGGCATCTGTAATTTTATGTGCCAACACTATTAAAGACATGATTAATTTGAATCAATCTGCAGAAACATTTGATCACTCTCTTAAAAATCATATCTACATGTTATGTATTTTATTATTTTTTAAGCTACTATCAGCCCAATGTGCCAAGGGTGATCTGATGAGTTTTTTATTAATTAATGTTAACCAATAACAAAAAAGTAGCTAGACAACACAAAATAATGCTTGTTAAGGAATATCCAATCAAAATAACCAAATCCAAAACACAAAATGCAATTAATATTGGACATCTCAAAATTATTAAACATTTAAAGGGAGGCAACAACGAATTTGAGATGAATCATTTTCAAAAATTAATAACCACTCGTCTCCCTTGTTCAACTTGTCTTCAACTATAATTATTCATAGAAGTCTCACACCAGTGATTATTAGATCAGTCAATTGCCAGTTGGAATACTGTCTACAGAGCAATAATGTGCCATAGATTTAAATGATCCTCAAGGTAAGTGTTCGGTCAGTGTTCCTTAAAGCTAGTCTAGTGTTGCCTTCAACACCTATCAGCATACAGCATAAAAAGTCTGAGGTAAATTGAGCGTAAATTATCTATTTCCTTAAAGCAATCACATTGCACGTTTACACAATTATAAATACATTCCCATTTGACTTTCTTATTTACAATTACAATAAACAGTGCCAAGTTCGTTTAAAAGTCATCTTCGCTAGACCAACTGCAAACCATTAAAATGTTGAAAGAGGTTATGTGCACCAATTAACAAGATATATTTTGATATTTTTATATAAACGTCATCATAAAGAAAAGTAAGCTTAAGGTGAAATATATTGAAAAACTGTTTTGGAAAAGTTAACAGCAGATGAACTTCAGAAAAACATGTATTACTCTCACTTCTGACAATTTTGAAAATATTTAACATTGACATTGCAATATGAAAAAAAACCATTTATTTTTGAAAACTTGAAAGGATTTAGACATAATTTTGTTTTTATGAAAACTTTTTAATAGAAATGTGCTGACTATTCTTCCAATTGGATTGGCTAATTGAATTAAAATGTTAATTTTTAGTTTAACTGTCACCACCAGCTATATAAAAGTTGTAGACCATAGCTAAGCCTGCCACTATACCACTTGCTGCTAAACCTGGAATCAAACATAAAATATAATTGATAGGAGCTCAACTCTTGTTACAGACCTGTGTGATGGATATAAAATCCTCAACAGGAAATGTAGAAATGGGGTGAAAGAAATATCAAATAATTCTATTATAATAATCAACAATTGTCTAAAGCTAATCTTATATTGTATCTGTTTTGTTAGGAAGGCATGTGAGAATAAATATATAGATTCACTTAACAGGAATCTGTCCTCAACAAAGAGAATATTCTTAAGAAGAAAGATTCTAAAAATCAATTTCAGAAACTATTCCACATATTCCAGTCTTATAAAAATTAGACCAAACTTTCGTTCTGTTGTTTTTATTAGCTTTTATTTTTAATACAATCACATCACAAAATACCAGCACTGGAGAGAGAGTAAAAAATTTGATTGGTTAAAGCAGATGTCATCTAGTTGGGTCAAAAGGTTAATTTGACAAACGTTCAATAGGACTGTCTTTAGACCATAACTGAAGTGGTTTTATTAACAATAAAAGCTGACAAAAACGAAATGAAAGTTTGGTCTTATTCCAATTAGGCTGCACAATATTCATTTCAAGAGGAAAATATAAGGAAAATAACATACCAATATATGTAACAAAATTAGAATTACTATTTGTTGTTTCTGTGTCAACCTCCATATCAGTGGGAATCTCATGTTCTGAAGCTGTGGATATCCAGTCTACTTCAGCTATAATACAAAATAATAATCAAAACATATTAACAGATTGGCATATATTTTTGGGATCAATATAATGAAGTTTTAAGCTATGTTTTGCTCTTGATTTGGCTAATACTAAGAATACACTACACAATCTAGTAACCCGTCTTTTTTAATTTGAAATGTCAGGGGATTTTTAACTTGTACAGCCTAAAGCACACAGGGCCTTGGTTAATTGTCTCACGTAAACTACTAATGCTTTTCTCAAATCAGCTTGCATTAATGTTAAGCAAAATGAGATATATGGAATTGAAATAAAACTAAATAAACTGTAGATGTCCACTACCCATAAGTTCTGTAATAGTTCAGTGGTGGACTTAAATAAACCCATGTTATGCCAGTTATTAAAAAATAAAGTTATTCTTAGATTCTGCCTGTAACAAGATCTTCCTAAAAATGCATCAGAAAATAACCAAAATTGACACAATCATTAAAGAATCCCAAAAAATCACCTGCTGGTCTTTCAAGATCTAATTCTAAATTTTCTTCTGTTAAATTAACGTCTAATAATTCTTTAATTCTGTCTATAACTTCATCAGTCCGTTCATCTTGGAAGATATAATCACATATCTCAACCGAGGAATCAGGAACAATAACAAACACTCTTACTGGTGTATTATATAACTCTACAGCTTAAAATAGAACACACAAATAATTCTACTCAGATAGTATTGAAGTTGTGAAGATCCAGTTTCAGGCATACTCAAAACATAAACGTAAGCATTTCATATTTGGAGAATCTAATATTGATACATTTTAGTTAATTAACTTGTAGCCGAACCATTTGTCTGATTTTTTATCATGAAAAGTATTATAGCTAAAATAGATAAACTGTTGGTAAAAAATATTTAGAAATAGGTAAACGCTTAATATATGAGGCAAAATCACAAGTGCATGCTTGATATAAAGTCTTGCTTGACTTTGTGGTATACCAAAGATTTTCAGAAGTGACAGGAACCATAACTCTTACCTTTATCCTGTTCTGTGATAGCCAAATCTTCACATAACAATTCACATCTTGATAATAAACTTCTAGCTAGATCAACTTTTACTGCCTATAAATACACAACACTGACATACATAAATAATCTTTAAAAAGAACAGCATCCCTATTTGAGTTTTGTTTCTTACTATTCTTCTCATGAATTAATGAGGATCTGCAATCCTGTGCAGTGTCTAGCAAGAGAAATCTAGCCACAAATGGCCAAGGTCTAAATACCTCTCTCTCATCATATCAACGTTTTCTTAAATGAATTGATCATATTTTCGTATCCAGTTTAAAAATCTAAAAGCCCATAGTTTGTCCTCTGATATAGAAATTCTTTAATTGGTTTTTAGTATTGCAGGTTACTTACATGAATGGCATCACCAACAGTAGGTTTTCCTTGGATAAACGCTCGACTAACTATCTGACCTCTTAATACCATTAATGAACTAACTTTTGATAATATAGGAGCTGAAACTTTATTATCTGCCTGTAATATGTAACATTCATTATCAGCCTTCACATCCTCTAGGATGACTGTCTGGGTTTATGTTTTGACTTCCACTGAAGCACAAAACAACCTTTGAAAACATTGTCACAATAATTCAGATGAGATATCTCAGGGTACTAAATTCCTGACCTGGAACACATCTTAGAATTTCAGTATGGACACAAGCAGTATATAGTAGAAATATGTGGAACTTTTCTAATATTTTGTGTTGACTACTTTTGTGGACTGTCTTTTGATGTGTTAGTTTGTATTGAATGAATGAAATGATATAAAGCTTTCTTACCTGTTTGGTGAGTATTTCTATATTATATGACTGTGGTACAACAAGTCCTTTATCTCTACCACGTGACTTCTTACCACTGGAAGTATCTAGTGGTTCACTCGCCTCGCGTATTGCCCCATTGATTATACCTATACTACTTGTTAGAGACTTGAAGAACGGATTTAATCCTATCTGAAAACATAAAAGAAAGAACGAACTTTTACATATTTACATATACACAGTTTGATGACGAGGATAGACAGTGTGCAATAAGGGTAATTTTTTCAGGACAGCAGTATGAGCTTACTTTTTTTTCTGATTGTCTTGATATCTTTGAAGAACACAGCCTGTCTATCACACAATTTAATGCCCTATATGAGGAACAAATATCTTTTTGATAAAGATTGTACTCCAGATGAATGAACGAATGTACCTGTATCTGTTTGATTAAAGGGGAAGATTTTTTATTGGAAGGTACAGCAATTTTCATATCCAGAAATGCTGAAGTGTTGAGTTGAATCCATTTATCATTGATAGCTTGATATTTCCATTCTGCTGGGTGACCAGTACTCTAGAACACAAAATTCACATTTCTCATCAAACGATATACCAAAATAAACAGTATTACTAGCTATATTGACATTACAGTAGCAGTTGGATCAGCTATAGTAAATAAACAAACTAACTGTCCTGGATTGAATATCCAAAATATGTGTCTGCAAACTGAGAGAAGCTCCAGTCAAGAAACAAATTAGCTTACGACTAATAGATATCCAAGCACATATTCAAACTAGATGACCTGATGAGGATTGAATATCCAAAACGTGACCAACGTTTCAGAAGACTGAGATGAGCTATAGTCAATATACTCACCCTATTGTCTTGTACATCATATGTTCTACATGTTATTCTAGTATTGGGTAAAGAAAATTTAAATATATCAAATAACAATGTGTGACAAACAAGGTATTTTTTTGCTACACCTATCACAGTGGAGCTAAATTAAAATTATATTTTCTGACTAAAGGATACTTTCTAGTGAGTGAGTCAATATGGATAGTGATTCTATCTGTGATGTCATTATCTCTATTTAATATCTGGTACTGGTTCAAACTGCTATGTACTTGATATAATATCTACAATTATATAATCTTACTATGAAGTGAAATTGAGTTTTACATTTTACTTTTCTGTATCAAAACAGGCCTAAAAATTTGTCCAAATAGAGGAGAGCTCTTGTTGGCTCTTGTAAAAGCAATTTCAAACTAAAAAAATTCTTTTAGATTTTCCCAATTCACTATCTAAAGTAGAGGTTTTTCAATACATAATTTACAGGGAGAAACTGTGCCTAAATATCTGAAGCTATTATTTTATCCTGTGTACTGCTTGAAATCCTGGGCTCTAGTTAAGCAATCAAGCATTTACTTCACTACAATCTAATTAAAATTCATATTACAATTTCATATCATTTTTATTTTCTCATATTTCTAGAAAACACAAAGATAGGAAATTGTACCTTATTTTAATTAGATTGACCATACTGAGTCATTAGCTCATTCAGTAACAAGAAATTATGACTATTGGAGACCAGATAATAAAACATACCTGTCTAAGTTTGGTAGCAACATTCTGAGATATATTAGGTGGAGATAATATAAAAACACCAATAACATCTAAACCTCCTGGTAACATCCGCAATACCTACAAATATATACAGAATAATAGAGTTTTACACCATACTTTTCTCTATCTTATTGCCTTCATAAAATATAATGCAGTTCTATTCCCTTCTATTCCTCCTGAAGGAATAAATAAAATGAATTTTCACTTTGTGAAATGGAGTTTTACATCTTAAAGCCAAGCAGTGTGCAAAGAGGTAAAGTTTTGCATGAGCATTTGGCTACTTTTAACATTAACAGTCACTTCAACAAGTTTATTGGAGTCCTTGAAAATGACATGTCTATGTCAATGTCTATCTTGTAGTCTTCTACCAATCAAACTATACCTGTTTAGCATGTGTAGCAACCCATCCTTCATTGACATCATCTAATGATTTGGGTTTCTTTGGTCCTTTCTTTTTCACTTTTTTCTTATGAACCAATTCTTCGAGAAGTTCTGCAGGTAGTTCTTCTTCCTCACTCACTTCATCTTCTACTGGGTCTGGTGTCCTTGACAACCGCAGTACATAATCTCTCTGTTTCGTTACCTGGACAAATTTAAAATTGCCAATTAAGAAATAAAACACAATTGTCAAAAGCCTATTTCAAAAGGATCTTATTATTTTCATGTAAAAATCATTTGTAGGCCTATTTCCATTAAAAGGAAACTTGCGAATAAAATTTTACAAGAGTGAACAACTAAAGTAAACGGAAAAATTTTGGACCAATTAAAAATTTATATCCACCTGTCCAAGGATAAGGCCAACATTCCACTGTCCAGATTTGATTAATTCTTCAATATAGTTTTGAATGGCTTCGTCTGCATGAATTGATCTTCCCATTTCACTCTAAAACTCCTGACAATCTGTGAAATGAATAATTTTCTTAAGTCTTCACGTTGCAGTCGCCATAACCGGAAGTAAACAAGCTTTGGTCATCAAGACTGAATCGATATTTATGTTTCGATTAAAAAGACTCTTATTAGAAATTTACGACATTCTTAATGATTTGTTTAACATAACTACGACAATTTTTGATAAGCTGTCGACTTTGAAATCATTTTTTTTGGCAAAAGTTGGGAAATAATTCACGAAATTAAAACAATCAATATAAAATGAGAAACCTTGAAAAAGACGAATGTCGTAAATGGCGGGAAATCAAATAGTAAACAAGAGAGAAAATTCCGGGAAATAGTAGAATTCAATCGAAATGACAGAAAAGGAGAAATATGACCCGGCGTCTCTCCCTGACTTGCTACCGATGTATTATAAACGATTATTTCCTTATGGTCCTTACTACAGATGGCTCAACTACGGTGGAGGTGGGGACTTTAGATTACTATCGTTTACATTATAATTATAAGATCTACCACGCCCATTTTATTTATGGAACAGTAGCTTGGTATAACGTTTTATAAGAGATACTCTCTTATAGAAGCACTGGCTTAGGACACAAGGAGGGAATCTTGGAATACATCAATTTGACAGGAAATTGCCTACTTCTGGAGAGATTTACATGATAAACAAGCTTGGTGTAAATATTTACAAGATTCACATATAAAACTCAAACAGTTAGGCCTACTTGATCTGATTGATTCCCATGAATGACATTAGCAGAGGCAGGAGATTATTATAAATCATTTATTTGATTTAAAGCTTTTCATTCTGTCATAATCATTCTTCAGGTAAATCAACTGGTATGTTGACATTATTATTGAACTAGTAGAACCTGGCATGTGGTAACAATTTAATTGCTGGTTTGATGACTTACTTTATTGTTTCTCAATTTCAGTTCCAAAAAATTATTTCCAAAATCGGGAGTTTTCCTTCACCTTAAAAGATGATGTTTATATTCGTTACCAGTCATTTTCTGATCAATCAGAATTGGAAAAAGAGATTCAGAAAAGATGCCCATATAAAATTGATATTGGAGCTGTGTTCTCTCATAAGGTAATGGATGGGTGTGCGAACCCAGAATCAATATTTTCCCCTGTCAGTTATGCATGTCAGAGGCCTAGTCAAGTCTAGTCCATTTGTTTGGGACAATAAACTGAGGCCCCGTATTTAAATATCTATCAACAGTTGGAGAAAGAGCAGGCTTGTGACTCTATATTGACTGTTTTATTGCACACTGCCTATATTCATTAGACCAATTTCATAACTGTTATTTTCTTCTCAGCCGAAAGAACACAAAACGGTAAAAGCTGCAGCGTTTCAAGCACAGGAGAAGGAGCTGGTTTTTGATATTGATATGACAGATTATGATGATGTCAGAGCTTGCTGCACGTAAGTATATTTAGCAATCATAAGCTTACACATGCATTTTATTTAAATTAAATTTTCAGAATTCACTTGGAGTACAGGTATGGCAATCTTGTGCTAGACTGCCCCAAAACATTTAAGGAGGGAGTTTTTCAAAACTTTTTATGTGTATCAGGGACACTCATTTCATTTGCTCCATTCCAATTTTAAGTTAAAAATGAGTGGCATCAGGTGTTCCAAACACCCATACTTAAATATTGAAATTTGAATTCTAATTTCAGTGGAGCAGATATATGTGAAAAATGTTGGCCATTAATGAAAATGGCAGTGAAGATTATCCATGCTGCTCTGACAGAAGATTTTGGATTTAAACATTTATTATGGGTGTATTCTGGACGACGTGGTATCCATTGTTGGGTATGTGATGAAACAGCTCGGAAATTATCTCAAGCTGGGCGTTCCGCTGTGGCAGAATATCTCAGTCTTGTTCGAGTGAGTATAGCCTATTCTGTCTGCATATGTATCGAGGCATAATATTAGAATGTATTATCTCTTCCAATCCAGTTGTCCTGATGAATGTTTCGTGTAAGAAACACTGAGATGGAATAGTTATCGTTCTGGACATTAAAGAACAATAAAAATTAAATATATATGATTCCAGGGAGGTGAAAATCAAGTAAAGAAAGTTAGTTTAGATGAGACTTTACACCCTTCTATCAGGTAATGAGACATTTAGATTTCTATAACCAACGGGGAGTAAAAATGCTTTCATAAAGGCATTGAAACTCATTTCATTAGGCCCAGTGAGGTGTAGAAACTCTCATTTCATTAGCCCCATAAGATGTAGAAACACTCATTTCATTATGAACTCCTTTAATTTCAGACGAGCTGTAAATGTAATAGAAGAGTATTTTGAAAAGTATTCAGTGAAAAAACAAGATTTCTTGGATACCCCAGAACAATGGGATAAAGTTTTAAATCTTATACCTGTTGATGATATCCTTTCGTCAAATTTTATTTTTACAGTTTCTCAAAACAGCAAAATACTTTTAGTGTATTTGTCATTCCATTAATTTGTCAATATTAAATTGATTTAAATTAAAATCTCTAAACGCACTACTTTTCACTGAATATTATTAGACTTAATTCAGGTATAACATGTAAGAAAGGAGATCAATAATTTATTTGATAGCCTGGGTACCAACACAGCAACACGATTAACCATATTAAAGGAAAAACTTCACCAGTATAAAGACACAGTAAGTTTAAAACTCTCAGACTCTTCTTTTAACAATAAGTTAACATGAAATAAGAGGTAAATAGCAGTTTTTAAATCAAATCATGAATGGATAAGTACCTGTGTATCTTGTTTGCTAATTACCAGCAAAGCCAAGCTGTTTGCTATTGTGATATTATCACAAAATGTTTGATAAGCAGGAAGCCCTCCTGTATTATTTCGAATTTAGAGTTTAAACCGGTGAAATATTTAAATCTTTGTTTCATCAGCATAAGAAATTAAAGATGACACTAGAAGAAATCATGGTCCAATTTTGTTATCCCAGACTGGATGTTAACGTCAGTAAGGGGGTAAATCATTTATTAAAATCACCCTTCTGTGTCCACCCTAAAACAGGTATGTAACCACTTCCCAATCTTCACAATGTCAAGCTACAATAGCCACCATTCTTGTATTACGAAAGTTTTTGTATTTTGTAGCTTAAAATCCATTAAAATCGCTGCATTCCATAATACACACGTTGGCTATTGTAGTTCTGGTAAAACCTTTGCTTTGCGCTCGCAGTGTTTTACAGTATAAGAATATCAGTACATGGTGAACTATTTATAACATTTCCATCAGTTTACAAGCCTTATTCAACTTTTGTATTTATCCCTTGTATGGGTAAATCATATACAATTTACAACCAATTGTGTCATTTTCAAAAGCATTATGAGCACTTGATCTAGTGTTTTATCAGTATATTTATTCTGTATTGTAGGGAGAGTTTGTGTGTCATTTGACCCTATTAAAGTTGATCAGTTTAATCCTTTTAAAGTTCCCACTATCAGGTAGTATAATATTTATTTCATAGTAGAGTAGTTAGGATAAGACAAAGCAAGATCCTGTGTACATGGATTGAACAAAGAATAAGCTGCTTACATGGCAGAAATTGCTGCTCACTCACTACAAACTTCATTAGCCTGAATACACTCAATGATCTTGATAGTTATAATAAAAAGTGACTAGGCTAATGCTGCTATCCTGCCAAAATTTCCCTCACTCTCACTGCATACCAAGTATTCATTCTTCTACGACATTAAAGATCTCTCAACAGTTTGAAAGAGAATCAGCAAATGCAGCTGTCCTGTCCAAAATTTACCTCACTAATTACCTTCATTTGATTGTGAACTATATTTCAGTCAGTTACTAGATGAAATAGATCAATCCACTGATATAGAAGACAAGAAAATAAAAGGTATGTAGCAGTAGATTTTCATTAAGATTGACACGATTCAAAATTTTTCCTACATTTTCAATTTTGTCTATATATTCATAGCTAGACATGCCTAGCAAATACAAAAAATTAATTATTTTTTATTAGACTACAAGAAGACATCACTAGCTGAGCCAATTGAAGTTCTGGAGAAATTTGTGAAGACACTGGAAAATTCCTGGAAGGGAAAATTAATAGAACAAAGTGGTAAATATATTTGTTCTTTACCATTTTCAAAATGTTAATAACAAAGTTTAAACTATTTCCTACATTCTTTGCTAATCCATGAAAATTGTTAAAAATTTTGACTATGGCATTTAGTGTTCTTTGAACATTTTCTTCATTGGTCTGATGACAACAGTATAGCCAAACTGGTATAAAAGCAATGACATCGATTCACTTCGAAATTAAAAGCCTAGTTCTTTCTTTTTTCAGATATGAAGATGGAATTTTGAAAACTTTAATGTCTTTCAAGTACAATATTCACAACAGCCAACAGCTCATGAATAAAATATTGATTCCAGTTTTCTTTTATATTTCCTTACACATCGTGGTTAAAATTTTCAGTCTTGCCAGATTAAGATTAAAGAACAGTTGACAACCCTATTATGAGCAAGCTGAAATGAGATTTCATGACAGATTTCAGCCAGAATTTTTTGCAAGGATTAAGGATAATCATTTAACCCCAGTTCAAAAGCTACTGGTTCTAGTAGATTAGTAAATTTCTGACAGATTGTGGAAATTTGAACACCTACAAGCTATAATTATCACAGAATAAATCATTAAGCAATTAAATGTATTTAATAATTATCTGCTTACAGTCAAAATTCTGTGTTTAACAAAATAAAACATAGTTAACTTAGAAATCTGGTTTTTAATTTGTACATACAATTACAATATAATTACTTCCCAGTTTGTACAAACAAAATGACGAAATTGAAATTGTTTTGGATGGCATAAAACCCAGTCCAAATTTTTGGCTGAATTAGATGCTTTCCAAATCAATTTCGCATCATTTAATTTGGTTAGTTAATAAAGATGGACAAGAATTAATCAACATTAGACTTGGAATAAAGCAGGAACAAGGACCACCATATAAAAAACAAAGGCTCAGATCAACAAAATTTTCCAGAAAGTAGAACCCTGTTCACTCAGATTAATGAAATTGATTAGATTCAGTTTTTATTCATGATTTATAGAAAGTTTAATGTTGAACAACTCCAAAAGATATCACAGAAAGGATAGAAAAGAATAGAACAAGGGAATCTGTCCAGACATAACCCATGGTCACATTTCTGAAAAATCTTGCCATTTAAGATCACTTAATTCACAATTAGAAATAGGCTTACAATAATCATTAATAGCAAGATTTTTTTGCATGAAATGAGACCAGAAAACTTCAAACCTGTTTAAAAACAAGCTGCTAGCTTTCTTTGATCTTTTTTTGAAAAGAAGAAATGAACAAGCCTACAACTCAAGACACAGGTATTAATACATATCAGAGACAATTCAAAATAAACTTGAACGGTTCACTATATTTTGAGGTAGAAACTATCAGGTCAGACCTCTAAAGACCTCCAAACAAAGTGGACTATTCCAGTTCAAGTTTTGATTCATCTCTGGATGTGCATTAATATCTTTGTCTTACAATTAATAATTGTGTAATTTAATCAACAATTTTGAAATCTATATTTATCGTATCTGGATTTGTTTTTAAAATAAATTGATGATTTGAGCACTACTACATATTTCCAATAACATGTAACAAAACAAAAACAAAATCATAAATTTCTCTACAAAAACAAAAACTTTACAAAAAACTTAATTTGGATTTGTTTGTTTTTGAAAAAACTTAGCACTTTTTATGACGTTATGGCGTATTTTAACATGGATGTTTTAGCACATTAAGTTTCCTCTTTAAACTCCATATTCTATTTTTTGAGATCCATTTAGTATTGATTTTTCCAAACAAGTCCTTTTATGGCCTGCATAGGAAGAATCACTTCTGCATAATTTAAGCATGCCTAAAAACTAGGTAATATTGATGAATGGAATAACAACACAGGTATAGTAAGAGTCTACCATCAACACCGAACAGTTGATTGTTTCACATGGTTGTTGATAGGCTAGTCACCTTACCACGGACTGGCTGATAGTTATTGAAAGCTTGTTTTATCACAATAAGATTTGTAATCTCACTCGATTGACGTCGACGGACATGTTAAATTCTCGTAGAGATAATTCAGTAGAACTCTCTCTGGAAGAGATTAGAACTTGGAAGTTTTGAACAGCTCACAATGCGTCAGATACAAACTTGTTGTCGTGGTAACAAGTTTGAGCACGCTACTGAAGCACTCCCTCTTTCTCCCATCATGCACTCTTCTTTCTCTCACGGACGACCAGGAATTGAACTTCATCGATCGAATCACAAGTTTAAACGTCTTATCACTACAGCGATGATAGTTTTCACTGGATTCAGTTATCTGAAAGAAAAAGTTCAAATTATTAAAAATATGAATTGAAATGGCTGGGTTTTGGTTTATAAAAATAAGAAAATTTTCAAGGACAGAGGCATCAGCCTAGTCTATTTATACTGTTTGGAAAGAAAATAAAGACCTTACCATGAAGTATTTTTTAACTTGCGTATTTCTTTCGTGGCCCAATTAGCTAAGGTTTTAGTTTTATGACCTTTTGACCTTCGACCTGCTGTCATTAAATCCTGTATAGATTGTTTTTCTACCATAGGTAATATTTGACCTCCGAAATTCTGACCTCCGAACGCAGTACACATATCACTAAAATAAAATATAGATCTTAAGTTTAAGCAATTTAACTCTCACAATAATAGCAGTCTCTTGGTGATAGATGGTCATGTTTTTAGGTATGAGGTCACTCTGACATGGGAAAATACCACAATCTCACAATTGACCTGTCCCAGTAATTTTGCAGTGAAGCTCAAAGTTGAACTTTTCAGAAAGCACTTGTGGCATTACAATCATAAAAAACTTCTGAAAACAAGGAGGAACACCATGCAATGTGCAATTGGTTAACTCTATTTTGTATTAGAAACTGTGAAGGGATCTAGTTCACAAATAACCTATCCAATTGCTCAAAAAACATACACAATGCTTACCCAATGAGACCACAGCAGGCTGCAATATTTCCATCACTTTTGTCCTCATCAAGAGCAATATGTTCTATAAATGATATCATGTGAGGAACGTGGGGCAAGAGTAGACATACATCTGCTGAAAAAATAAATACATTGTAAATATTTTAAGGACTGTCTTTTTTCTGTCATGCAGCAATGAGATCAAAATGATGTTTTAAAACAAACTCTCTTTGCTCTAGTTTTGGCTCATAAAGATGAGCAATGCTATGCGATAAAATTTGCCAATATGGTGGTACAAGTTAACTAGTTTCACTAATTCCTACTAGACCTTCAACTTACTGTCCAATCCAAACAATTAAGACACTTTTTCCTGCATCATTGACAAGAGCAACTGGGTTGAAAGGTTTGAATTTTTTTTTTTACCTATCTTAGTCCAAATTCTGGATCCAAAAGTACACCTAAGCAAATTAAGTCAAATTAAGCAAACTTTTTTTCCATGTATGTACATTCTAGATAAACAAAAAAAACCTTTTTTGATCGGTCACTCATTGGAATTCTGCTGGTAATTCTTTTAATTTAGCTAATTATGAATTAAAATTGACATGTGAGACAAACTGGTATTGTTTCAAGTCATTAGAACACTCTACTCTCTATATACGTACCATTATTCTGTTCACCATCACCTTTCAGACCTTGTACTATACCAGTATAGGCTTCTAGACACCCTTCTCTTACTTCATTTAAATAATCTACCATATCATAGTCACTCTACAAAATAATATTTTTAAATGTGATTATTTTATGGGTTGCCCAATATTTATAAGAAATCATGTCTCCACAAATAGGACCTCTTTATTTTATTAATTCAACTTTATTATGCCTGGGGACAAAATTTTCAAAGAATTTGGTGGGTTTACCAACCAGTAATAAATGAATATGATGTAATAACTAAATGTATACAGAAGCAACGTACTGCAAAGAATGAAATTCAGTAAATAATATTACCTTGTCAACTTGTAGCTGTGAAGCTTGTTGTAGAGTATTTAATACCACATCTAAATATGTTTTAAAATTAGGTCCAATAGCTAGAGCAATATCACCAAACACAGATAATATCTGGGGCTTCACTTGACGATGTACACTATCATTCTAAAAATAAAAATAAATTAATTCTAATAACCAAATTAAAATCATATCAACCCAAACAGTTGCCAATAGATTCCCAACTACCTCTGCATAGTTTCCCTTTCACAACATATGGTAGAAATGACTGATAGGAACTGTTATCCAATCTAGGATGATAGGTCTTGATCTTTCCCTTCTCCTTTTAAACCCATATCATCTTTTTATTTCATTTCTGACTTCTTGCTTCTGTTCAAACCAATTGCCTGATTGAGTATTCGAAACAGAAGATAAGCCAGGAACAATCAACTAGAACCCTGTGAAAATTAAAGATAATACTTACAGCTAATATAGATAGTAAGGTCTGCATCAGATCATCACACAATGGTAAAATCTTTCTACCAAGAGCTCTACTTAAATCACCTACTACTCCTACTGATGCTAGACAAACCTGAAACACAAAATAAGACATCCCACTTTATTACCAGTTGTGGACCATTGAATTGGTTTAAGATCATCTAACAATGAGAGGTCCTCTGATTTGCTTTCTGTCTAAAGGATTGGACAATCTGCAATTACTAAATCAACCCATGACAACATATTTCACAACACTCAATGATTACAAACCAACACCACTGACGAAAAAATACTAACTTGATATTCAGCACAGTTCTGTAGACCAAGAGCCAAGAATGGTTTAAAAGCTTCTACATATTTCTCAAATCCTTCTCCCAGTACTGAAATACACAATCATTTTATTATGACTAACGTTGGTTCTCTTGCGCTTGTCAATTTATACAAACTCTTAATTAGGTAATTCAGATCATCTGTTAATTTGGAAATATAATGAGACAAACCTTCAATGAGTATTGAAACAGCTAAAATAGCGTCTTCTTGAACTCCTCCCCCTTTTCCTCCTGTACTCAACATCTGTAGTAGTGCAGCCATAATTTGATCTGATATCTTAGGAGCATCTTCTGGTGTTACTTTACGTAAAACACTCTACAAACAGAAATAGGGATTAATCTTTGTATATCTGTCTATTGATTCAAAAATATCAGTACCTTCATTTAAAAAATTTAATTTCAAATTCCATAAAAATCAGGCTATGTAAAAGAGAATTTTTTCCGAGACAACCACATTAGCCTTTGATTTCCAAGGTACATCAACATAAAGGTATTTTGATCACACACGATATGTAGTACAAAGAGTGTCAGTTTAATGACCTGTCTTCAAAATTGGAGGTTTTCACAATGTCATTCCCTTAGATCCATTACCAGACAGAGAAACCGATTTTACTTTCAGTTACCAAAATGTTTGGAAACATTCCACTGTTTGTATTGAGTATAGTCATATATCATTAGGTAGATTAACAAACCTGTAAGGTGGCACATAATAAAGATTGTAGATCATTAAATTGACTTCTATCATTACAGGATTGGACTGCCGATTCCATCTCCAACACTTTACGTAACCTCTCTAATATAATCATAGTGGTGTTCTGAACTATTACATAGCAATCCTGAAATCAAATTACATTAAGTTATACTTCGTACTATCTCGTATCAGACTGTTGAATACCTTGTTGGGCTATTGAAATGAAGTTTATATCTTACTGTTCTGTACATTATTGGGATAATGAAATCAAATAGAGTTTTTAGTCTTTGGTGTTATATATTACAAGGAGAGGGTGGCAAAATGGCTTCTTCAAAATGAGATTTTTGGGAAACTTTGTACCTTCGGACTGTTTTTCACCATTTCCATCAAGGCCTCGTATGCCGCATTTCTTAGATTATGCTGGTTACCATCAGGTCTGAAATAACAAGACAAAATGTTAGGTCAGCCATCTATATGCTCTGATTCAATCAAGCACCGGTCTAATGAAGTTGAACAATGCCATGCAGTGAGCAATAAGAAAATACTCTGCAGAACAGCATTGACGGCAACATTTTATGCTCTTGACACCATAGGCAAGTAGTAATTGAAACAACCTCAGTAGATCATCGACAAGGATCATGGGCAATCACTAGTCAAATTCTTTCATCCTTGGTGTTTTTTTTCAGAAATAGTATTCAAAGGCATGATCTGGACCTATACACAGATGGAATTCCAGGGATCCTCGGATCCAAAAGTTAAAGCTTTTGGGAAAGGGAACAACCTCAGTAGATCATCGACAAGGATCATGGGCAATCACTAGTCAAATTCTTTCATCCTTGGTTGGCATTTTCAAAAACAGTATTCTAAGGCATGATCTGGACCTATACACAGATGGAATTCCAGGGATCCTCGGATCCAAAAGTTGAAGCTTTTGGGAAAGGGAACAACCTCAGTAGATCATCGACAAGGATCATGGGCAATCACTAGTCAAATTCTTTCATCATTGGTTGACTTATCGAAAGAATAACATTCAAACACTTGTTCTCAGCCTTTATTCAGATGGTATTCCAGGATTCTTAAGTTAATGCGCACCTTGCTGGGAAAGGGAACAACCTCAGCAGATACAATACAATCTATATACAGATAGAATGCCCAGATTCATCGTCTTCTTTGTTACAGACTATCAATTTCAGTGAAGAAAGCAAACTAACCTGTCTGTGGTCTGTAGTAAAATATTAACTATAGGTTGGAAATAGGTAGACAGACAGAACGTAGCAGGTGGTCCATCACCAGTTGTAGCTGCTTCAGCAGCCTCAAACGCAGCTTCTGCTAAACTTGAAAATGCCTAAAAAAAAAACAAATGTCATTAAACATTTGGATCATTCTTAGATAAAATGCATATCTATATATTGTGTGAAAGNT